AGGATGTGGAGAAAGGGGAACCCTCCTCCATTGCTGGTGGGAATGTAAACTTGTGCAACCACTTTGGAAATCAATCTAGCACTTTCTCAGACAATTAGGAATAGCACTTCCTCAAGATCCAGCTATACCACTCCTAGGCATATATCCAAAAGATGCTCAAGTATACAACAAGGACATCTGCTCAACCATGTTTGTAGCAGAGGGACTCGTAATTTGGAGTCTAGGCTACTTTTTGGAGTTGGGCAGGGCCAAGGGTGGTAATTCTGGCCCTGCTAAAGTCTCCTGTGCCCTGAGCACTCAGTGTTAACCAGGATGAGAACAGGGAGAGCGGCTTTGAGCCCTTGCCAGGGTTGAGCTGGTGTTGGATGCCTCATCAGTATACCTGAGAGGACAGTGCTGAGCCCCGACCTCTCAGGAGCTCAGGGTGTTGAGTGGCACCCCTGGAGGTAAGCGCAGCAGTTGGGGCTGGCTCTCTACTCGGGATGCCCAGCTTAGTGGCTTTCTTTCTCTGCCCCGGACCCTCTGAGAACTGTTTTCTTTACACTTGTCAGACACTTGTCCTCCTGGAGAAACCACTTCTCTGCCTTGAGTCTCTGTTACAGCACCCAGGGCAACCAAGGGACCCAAGGAGCAGGTGGGAAATGACTCAATTACAATCTGAAACCCTGGAGTGATGAAACCAGAAGGGGCTGTCGGCTTTGTCTTACCCAACTTTCCACTTTACAATAAAGAAATTCAGACCCAGATGGAGAAACTTAAAAGCTTTCCAGTGAGCTTGGAGCTGACCTGATGGCAGGACTTTTCAGGGAAGAAGCGATTACTTTAGAAGTCTGAAACCCGGTAAGTCTCAATGTGAGACCCTGCCAGGAGAGGGCCCCAGTTTGCTGATGAAGATGGACAAAGAAGAGCCTTCTTAGTAAGAGACCCTGCTGTAGGCAGAATGTTGCTTTCATTTGTTTAGATTATTATTATAGCATAAGGAGCAAGTGTAACAATAATTTAGGCTGAAAAGTCACAGATATCATGCATAAGGCAGGGAACTTTAGCTAGGGAGAGCAGTTTGAGAAACCCTGGGTGGGAAGGACAGACAGACGAGACCTCGGGACAGGCCAGGTCTGAACTGCAGATGTTGTTGTGCTACAGAACTGTGGTGGGGGTGGGGGTGGGGGTGGGGGTGGGGGTGGGGGTGGAGGTGGGGGTGGGAATGCACTCCTGCCCTTCGCCACCCCACGATCATCCTCTCCCCTTTCTACACAGCCTTGGAGTGTCCTTCCTGTACTTTCAATCACCTGGACCTGCAAATTCCAGACAGCCCAGAGTCTGTCTGGGCTAGAGAAGACACTCCTGAGACTTGGTTCTTGTCTGTAATGTGATGGAGTAGACTTGCCTGGAGTTGTTTACGGGGATAGACTTAGGGGAAGGGCAGAGGGGCAGCCATTCTTTACGGCTACCAAACTAGGCGGATTTTCTGGAAGATAAGCGCTGAAAAGGGCCACCTAATGTTTTATTCCACTATTCTCTCCCTCCCCCTTTTCTTGATGCCTTTTTGAGATGGGGTATCACCAAGTTGCCTAGGTTAGCCTTCACCTAATGAGGTAGCTCAGGTTAACCTCAAACTTGATGTTCCGGCTTCAGCCTCCCAAGTGCTTGGATTACAGGCAAATACCACCACACTGGGCTATACCACTCTGAGATGTCACGTTTCAGAAACAATCTGGAAAGGACTGGTAATCGCTCCTCAGTTATAGCCCAGGGATTGCCCCACCAACAGCAGTTGGCGTTTTCTTCTCTAGGTCATCATCTGATCCTTGTGGAAGCCCTGAGAGTTTCCGCCAGATCCAGCTTCCTTCTCTCCTACAGTGATCTCAGGATTCCGGCATTTTCATTTCACTATTACCCACGAATGATTGGAAGATAACTCCTTTCTCTCATATGTCCCTGGGGGTCCAGTAGTTCATCTGAACTAGAGAAAATACTAAGTAGCTGCCGGAGGAAACCAGTGGAGAGCAGCTCCACTGGACAGAGTGGCCTCCTAGGCCGTGTCGTAGGTCTGCACCTGAATACCCAAAAGGAAGCAGGAGCCAGTGCAACTTAAGGGGTTGAGCTTGCATATAGCCAGCCCATAGGGGCCTTGGGGAAGGCAGGGGCAGCTGACCTCAGTGAAGAGAGCGAGTGGTAGAGCTTAGGCCACTTCTTTTGATTTGCTTTCGGCTGTCCTCCTTGCTTTTCTGGCTCAGCAACGCCCAGGATTCTGGGCATGTCTGGCCTTCTAAAAATACCCAAGCTGTCCAGAGCCTCCCAGATGTCTGAGCGCTGAGTCTGTGATTTCCCTGACTGTAATGGGACAGTCCAGACAGACATGGGCAGCCTGGGGTGGCTCAAGCCACTTCCTCTGCCTCCCACCCACCAGCCCACCAGGAGCTCCTCCCTACCCCACCTCCCTACCCTTGCAGCACAAAGGAGGCTAGACCCCATAGACTGCTGACTCCAGCCCTTTCTGGGAAAGATGAGAGAACTAATGTCCAAAGACCTGTGCAAGGCACCAGTGATCATCAGGACCTCCATAGCCACTTCCCCCAGCACTCAGGCCTCACCCGATGGTGCCTCCCTTCTTTATGCTGCCTGGAGACTGGGCTTTGAGTCTAGTCTGTCTGACTAGCTAGCCTGTCAGTTGGAAGCTCCTAACAGCAGAGACCAGAGGAACCCTCAGTCTCCATGATGCTTGAAAGGTGTCCCATCCAGAGGTCACATCAATGAGTGGAGATTGGTAGATAGGGCCCCACTGGGAGACAGAACCTTTGCAATCTACTCCAGGGTCGGCTGCCATGACACTGTGTCTTTATCAGTTCCTGCCATCCCAAAACAATGAGCAGGCACCCAGTCTGCTGGGAGTTCCTGTCCTCTTATGCTCCACGGTGAGGAGAAGGACACACCCTCCTGGTTCCATCCCACTGGAGGTTCTTAGCATCTCTCTCTTGTGACTCTGAACACCAGTCTCCAGCAACACCCCATGCCCCAGCCCCGTTCTACAAATGATGCCACTTTTGCCTCTGGTTCCAGATGCCAGGAGTAAACAACCCCTCTCTCCTAATTCACTAGGACCTTGAGTAAGGAAGGCACTGGCCTTTTGGGGGGGGGGGGTTGCAGTTTCATTACCTCTAAATTGGAGAAATGAGCCAGGCATGGTGGTACATACCTACAATCACAGCTCTGGGAGCTGCGGAAGGAGGAGTGTGGCCAGCTTGAGGCTACCCTGGACTGCAAGTACCAGGTCAGCCAGCGCTGCAGAGCAAGGCCCTCTTTCAAACAACAACAACAACAACAACAACAACAACAACAACAACAGAAAAGCCGGGTGTGGTGGCTCATGCCTTTAATTCCAGCCCTCCATAGAAAGAAGCAGGCAGAGCTCTGAAAGTGTGGGGCCAGATGGGTTTACACTGTGATTTCCAGGCCTACTAGGACTAAATAGTGAGACTCTGTCTCAAAACATAATTAATGAATCAATTAATTTTAAAAAGTGGAGAACTGGTCTGGGATCTGGCTCTGTGGCAGGAAACTCGCCTAGCATGAGTGGGAGCTCCCAGGTTTAATCCACAACACAACAGCAGCACAGTAAAGAAGAAAAAGATACCAATAAAGTGGAAAACATAGAATGGCTCCATGGTAGGGCACTTCCCTAGCATATGAAAGCCATAGGGTTTGGTCCCCAACATGGCCAATAAATGAGTTAATTGGTTTAGTTTAAGGGAGATAAGATGCTGATTCTTAGGTCATGGTCACCATCTACAGAGAGATCTTCACGGGGCTGGCATGATGGTTCAGAGAGTAAATGGCACGCGCTGTACAAAACTGAGACCCCAAGTCCAAGCCCCCGGGCCACAAGAAGACAGAACAGAACCGACTCCACAAAGCTGTTCTCTGAGCTCCACAAGGGTGCTGCAGTCCACACTGAATAGTCACTGTCTCTCTATGCATCTAGCCTCTAGCAGGTAGGGAGAGGAGAGCCAGGGAGCTCCAGAACCACGCATAGGCTCTTCCTAGATAAAATACCAGAGGGTCTGTTGACTAACAAAGTTAGCCAAGAAAATGTGGGGGAAAGGCAAGGAATTATGAGAACTCAGGCAGCCTGGATCAGAAGCCTGTCACTTCTTGCCTCCCCCCACTTCTCTGCTTGGCGACCTAATGTTCCAAGATCCCAGGCTTCCCGGAGAGATGTCACTTTCATACTCCTCCATAGGTTGTTTTTATTTTTCATTTTTTATGTAGTTCTGGTTGTTCTGAAACCATGTAGACCAGGTTGGCCTTGAACTTACAGAGATAAGCCTGCCTTATCCTTTGTGCTTAATTCCTTTGACAGGGCCTTACTCTAGTTAAAGCTAACTGAGGACTCTTTATGTAGCTCAGGCTGGCTGAGCTCATGGAAGTCTTGCAGACTCAACCTCAAGAGTACTGGGATTATAAGCACGAACTACCACATCCGTCACTGTAGGACTCCCTCTCTCTGACTCTCTCCTCAGATGATGAGTTTCCCAAAGAAAAGGCCCTGTTGGATCTTTGAGACTAAATACTGTATTCATCTAGCATTAGTCCAAAAGAGGATCTATCGGGGGAGGTGTGTATGTACGTGGCTCTGTGTGAGTGTGAGGGAGTGAGTGTGTGTGTTGTGTATTGACAGGATCTCTAGCTCGTTCAGGCTAGCATCCAAATGGGGATGTAGTCAACAGATGACTCTGAGTTTCTGATCCCCCTGATGCCAACCTCCATAGTACTGAGATTATAGAGCGCACCGCTTTTCTTGGTTCATGCAGCGTTAGAGATTGAAGCTAGAGCTTTGTGCATATTAGACAAGCCTTCTACCAACAGAGCCACATCTCCTTCTGAGATTCCCTGATCTCTAATGCCTTCCCTAGCCTTGGGGATAAGAAATCAGAAAGAAAAATGAGCTGGGGAAATGGAGGAACCAGCCGCCGTCTCCCTTCCGGTGGCTCTCTCAAGTCCGTGCTGATTGACTGTGCGCCGCTGAAAAGAATTAACCAAAGGTGGTCCTTGTGTCTGGACTCCTCTCTGCAGAAGAAGGGCTGAAGAACCCAGACCCTCAGATACCCTCAGCTTCTGGGTGTCCCAAGGATGTTCCTCAGCCTAGGTGAGAACCCACTCATGCTACTTTACATTTTCACCTTCTGGGTGATTAGTTTCAGAACATTTCAAAGGTTAGCTGGCTTAACTGGCAGTCAGAGTTGTGGGGTTACTGAAGGGAGGCAGGTAGGTGCTCATCAGTGCCGCAGAGAAGAGGCTCCTGCACCACTGGTGGAAGGGAAATAGAAATATGAAACAATTATGCTGTGCATGTGCCCATGGGATCACATGGCATGAGCCCGGGAGTTTGAGACTAGTCTGAAAAATATAGTGAAACCCTGTCCAAAAACAAAGAAAAACAATGAAAAAAATGTAGGCTTGTGGATCTTGGTGGTAGAGAGCTACTTTAGCATTGCCTAGCACCTGTGAGACCCCAGGTTCAATTCTAGCGCAATGAAGGCAGCAACAGGAACACACACATTTTTTTCTGTATTTCTCTCTCCTAAAGAAGGCAAAAGCACTTTAGAGAATCATTGTTTGAGATCATGTGTTTAAGATCAGGCTTCCCTATAAATGCCCAGGGTACCTCACTGCCTTCCCATCAGAGCTAATCCCTTTCTAAGCCAGGGTCTCTCCATCTTTAAAACAAACAGGTTCCATCAGTACCAGAGGGCTCATGATTTTCTGGGTGTTTCTTCTGTCCCCAACTACACAGTTGAAACAAAGTTTCATCAAGCTCAAGCTCCTACTCTCCAGAGACTGAGGCAAATAGGCCTTCTGCCACAAGCACACAAGATTTTCTCTTGTCCTCAGGGAGCCCAGAACTGATGCTGACTGGCCTGAGTCTCCAGGAGGAACAAGACCATCTGGGAGATGGCACACCCAGAGGCCCACAGCCTCGTTGCTGCCTAGAAAAGATGTGGAAAGGAAGCCTGGTTCAGAGTGAAACGGAAGTGCCTGAGGTCTGACAGTTGCTCTCTCAAGCCTGTGCAGCCAGGAGGGAAGTAAAACTGCCCGGCATCTGCACTTTGGCCCTGAAAGTTCATGGGACAGCAACAGGTGAGGAGGCCTGGTGCAAGCTTGCTGTCCAGTCTTGAGTCCTGGCCAGGGGGTATCTTTGGAAAGTAGACAGGCTCAAGGAGTCAGGAGGAGGATAAAGGAAAAAGCTATGAGAGAGGTTTGAGACCTTGGGCAAATCTCAAATGCTTCTCTGAGTTCATTGCTTCTATTTTAAGAAATAGGGTTTGGCTAAATTCACCCCTGCAATAGGGGTTTCTGGAATGGGGGCAAATTGGGGTATGAGGGGCAATTTGTTTACAAGGAGTCCGGCCTGTAACCTTGCGGGCAGGGGACTCGGCATTGTGGAGGACAGTTAGCAGAACAGGGGATAATCCTAATTCTCGATGTGTGAACCAGGGAAGAGGTCTTGTCGGGGGGGGGGGGGGCTCCAGGAGCAGGGCACAACTTTCCTAAGGCCACACGGCTAATTAGTTGTTGAGTTGAGGACTGAGTTTGGAAAGAAAGAGGAATTCAGAAGAGGGCACAGCCAAAGAGAAGCAAATGCTTGGTGATCTGAACAAGGTTAGACCTGGAAGACTAATTCTGAGTTAGGGAAAGGAGGACGCTCTCACAGAAGCAGGGGCTTTGACAAGCCCTGTGGCTCACATCGATAATCCAGCACTTAGAAGGCTCAGGCAGAGGGCAGGTTGTGAATGTGAGGCCAGCTCAGGCTGCAGGGTGAGTCCCAGGATAGTGTGGATTACAGAATGAGACCTTGTGTCAAAACAACAACAAAACCTAAGCAAACAATTATTATTATTTTTGTTTTTGAGACCGTCTTACTATACGGCTCCAGCTGGCCTTAAACTCAGAGATCTCCTGCCTCTGCCTTATGAGCGCTGGGATCCCAAGGCGGGCCACAGCACCCAGCTGTGAGCAAATTATTCATTAATAAGAATGGCTTGGAACTGGCATTTAAAGGGGAAATGGGAGATTGTCCTGCAGAGAGAAGGGGGAAAGGTGCTGAAGGCAAGGGGAACAGCATATTCAGAAGTTGTTCAACCGTGTGGAGTTGGTAAGACAGCCTGGCGAGTCGTTGGACGAAGAATGCACATGCTGTGAGCAGAGCATCAGAGCAGCACACGTGAGAGGCGAAGATGGCTAGGCCGGCTGGGGCCGACCAACAAGCTTGCCCTTCCTTCCATCCTAGCCCCCACGAAGATGCTTACAGTGCAGAGTGGACAGTGGAGGGGCAGGAAGGGGTCCTCTGAGGCTCATCCTTGGCTGTATCTCCTCCCATAGACCAGGGAATCCTCTACCAATTTCAAGCAAGTCCTTTAATGAAGACTCAAAATAAATGGAAAATCCTAGATCTTAGATGGAAGGATTTCTGGAGCCATTGAGAGGTTGCAGCTAGCTCTTGTTAGGTGCCTTATTCCTAAAAAAATATTTGAAAGATGCCACCAAGAACTATTTGAAGAATAGGCCTCAAATATTCAAGGAATATTCACAGTATAGGTGTGGTGATCCCCACCACACACACATTTGGGAAGCAGAGGCAGGAGGATCAGGAGTTCAAGGTCATTCTTGGTTAAATAGTGAATCTGAAGCCAGCCTAGGCTATATGAGACCCTGTTTGTTTGGTTTGGTTTGCTTGTTTGTTTGTTTTTTAAGAAAAAGAAAAAAAGGATAATTTGATTGTATATAGTGGACAACAGTATAGAGTTCCATGTTGTATTACTTTCAAATTAACCAGGATAATACAAAAAGGATGATGAGAGTTAAAAGTCACTTATCTGAAATATTTTGAACGAGTTCTTGAATAATATTTGTGGACGACAACAACAAAAACAAAATCTCCCAAACCGTGGACTTACTTTGGAATATATAAGCAGAGGAGCCCAAGGGCAGACAATGTGATCTCGACAGCTAGGAAGGCAGAGGACAAGAGCATGTGTGGGTGAGGTTGGGCAGCAGCAACTGTCAAGAGGAGTGACAAGAGAGCTGAGGGTGTCAGGCCCCTGCTCCGTTGAGAAAATGAAACATACAAAGGTGTGAAGGAAATGAAAACTGAAATGTGGGCGTTCCTGTGGCTTTGTTCTGGGCAGCTGTGGTTAGCAAGGGAAGTGAAAGGGGCTGAGTGGCTGGCAGGCCAGCTTTCTGAGAGAAGGACAGCTTGTGAAGGTGTAGAGACCTGTCCCTGCCCAGGGTGGAGTAGGGTGAGGGGCTATACTTTGAGAAAAGCCGAGGGTCAATGGGAAGCATCATATCCTTGCCCTCAGGGGCCCGTTTCTTTCTGCCAAGCTCTTTCTTCTTCTACCTTTCCAGAAACCGTAGGGTTTCTGTCAGGCCCTGCCAGCCCCTTAGAGAGCCAGGGTGAAGCTACTGTTCCTTGGCTTCCTGCTGCTTCCTGCTCAGCTGCTCGAGCAGGAAAACAGCCAGGCTCTGCCTGGAGGCACGTTTTGTTCTGTGCCTTGCATCACAGCAGCAGCTTTTCCCTTGCCACGGTGCTCTAACTTGTTGACTCTGCCCACAAGAGGCTTTTCGAGTGACAGATAAATGAGAATCAGAACCCGCAGTTCCCTAGAAATGCCAGCCCTTTGTAGGGCTGTCCTGAAGTGGGAATAGTGCAGGGGTTGGCTCTGCATTCTGGGAAAAGTCTTGACCTAACTGATCTAAATGGCCGACTCAGGCGTCTTGTATCTGCCTGCAAGAGCCTTCACTGAAGAAATGTACTGAGTTATACGTAGACCAAAGGGACAATCGAGAGGGTGATAAGGCATCGCCTAGAGGCTAACAGCTGAGGAACCTCTTACCTCAGGCCTGGAACCTAGGAAGAAGCAGTGCTGATTAGTGGAACAGGGATCCAGGAAGGAGCAGAGGGAAAATGTCTGCCTTTCTCTGCTCTCATCCTCAAGCCTCCTCATTGTTCCAACCAACCCAAGTGCGAGCTGCAAAGGGGGCCTGACGGCACAGCCTTGAGCCCCCTGAGGATAGGATAGGGATGGTTGGGAAGTGTTGGGTGGAGTTGCCATCTCTACATGTACCTGAAAGGTTGCCACTCAGGTAGAGTGCCCTGTGGCCTTGGTGCAGTCTCTTGGAACAGCACTAGCTTGGAGAAGATTTTTCTGCCACCCCAGAGAATTAGGCATTTAGAGAGCACCGTGGCCCTGATCTCACAGAACTTGAGGCTCTGACTGGGGATGCAGTTCACTGAAAAGGCCAACATGCACAAGGCTCTCTGGGTTTGATCCCCACAATGAAAAAACCGAAACAAACCAAAAGCAAAACCAAAACAGAAAACTAGTGTCTGGCAATAGCCACACAGTTTTCCTGGGTAATTGTACCGACATGTAAAGAGACTTAGCCCTGATGGCCAAACCCGTGCCAACGGCCAGAGTGGGGTGTAGTGAACATGCTGGCAGAAGAGACTGTGAGAGGGTGTCTCAGGGTTCTAGTATCGTGTGTGTATAGTTAGGGCCACAAAGCAAAAGCAGCAGGGACCGAAAGTCAGACCAGTCAATCTGAAAAATCAGTTGACTTAAGCTGTAACTAAGACCCTAAATAAATGCCCAGTATGCAGAGAGGGTGGGCACTGGTGTTAGTGTGACCCAGCCCTAGCTCTCTTGTGTTTTTTCTTCTTCTTTGAAACAAAAATATATTTTTCTTTTTTTTTTTTTTTAGTTGTAAAAGATTTTTTTCATACAATATATTCTAATCAAGCTTTACTCTCCTCCAGTTCTTTTCATAACCTTCCCATTTGTCCAAATCCACAGTCTTTTTCTCTCTCATTAGAAGACAAATAGACATCTGAAAAAATAATAACAGCCAGGTAATGGTGCTACACACCTTTAATCCTAGCACTCTGGAGGCAGAGGTGAGCAGATCTCTATGAGTTCAAGGCCACCCTGGTCTACAGAATGAGTTCTGGGTTTCTACAGAGAAATCCTATCTTGAAAAACCAAAATAATAATAATAATATAAACTAAAAACAAACAAACTGGAATAGGACAAAAAAAAAAAAGCAAAAACAAAACAAAACAAAACAAAAAAACCCCACATGAAACATAGAAATGGCATTCACACATTAGCACACACAGAAATCACATAAAGTCAAGAAGTGGGAAACTATAATATATAAACAAAAGGCCTATAAGGTAAAAACAAACAAACAAACAAAACCAAAAGAACCCAAGTATTATGAGGGAAAAATCTTCCTAAAATACCACTGAGTTTGTTTTGTTTTGGTTGTCTGCTGCTGGGCATGGAGCCTGCCCTCAAGTGTGGTTTGTATGCCCAGGGAGATTCCACTGGGGAAAACTAATGGTTCTTTCATGAGCAGTTATCAACTAGAGAGAGTTTCCGGGTTAGGGGTGGAGGCTGTGTTTATTTCCCCTCTCAGTGCTAGGATCCCATCTGGCTTGGACCTTTGTAAACTCTGTACAGTTTAAAAAATATTTTACGTGTATAGGTGTTTTACCTTCATGTATGTGTATACTACTTGTATGTAGTGGTGTGTGAGGTGGCCAGAAGAAGAACTGGAGTTACAGATGGTTGTAAGCTACCATGTGGTTGCTGGGCATTGAACCCGGGTCCTCTGGAAGAGGTTAAGCAGCCAGTGCTCTTAACCTCTGAGCCACCTCTCCAGCCCGGTGTCTTATCTGTCTGACCTATCCTGCCCTTTCTTTACAGGCCACCCCCTCACAAGCCACTTCTGGGAGGAGTTACTGAAGGTCACAGGCCCTGTGCAACAGACAAGGAAAGAAGGTCACGTAGGTGTAAAGGACCTGCCTGTGTAGGTGGGCCCCAGGCACACCCTCCTTTCAGCCTGGTGGACTGGGCCTCTGTCTCTGTGACCATGTTTACCAGCCCGCCTACTCCACCCTTGGTCAACCTCTAAGTCTTCAGGCCTTCAAATCTATCCATCCAGCATGCCTTCTAGGTTCATTGCCCTTGTTTTTATGGATAGAGTCTAACTAGGCCTTACGGAGGCCTCTGGGCTTGGGGAGTGGGGAGGCCCTGAGAGAGACAGCCAGTGCCTGTGCCCATGACATAGTGAAATAAACACCTAAAGAATCATTGCTTGTTCTGTTCCGTTTTGTTTGAGTTGGGTCTCCATGTGTAGTTCAGAGTGGCTTTAAATTCAGGATTTGGAATGTACTATGTAGGTCAGGCTGGCCTTGAACTTGATTGCTGGACTTACAGGCATGTGCTACCGCATTCCCCCAACCCCTGACAGAATCTTATGTAACCCACGCTGGCCTCAAATTCACTATGTAGCTGAGGATGACTTTGAATCCTGGATCCTCTTTCATCCACCTCCTAAGCCCTAGAATTACAGGTATCTACCCCCATGCCTGGCTTAAAGGGACACTGCTTTTTAAGTTTTAGGCCAAATAACCCAGAAGGGGCCTTGTTAGGAGCTCATTAGTTGGGACTGTCCCCCGAGCTCAGGCCCACCCAGCCTGGCACATTTCTTTCACTGCTCCTCTGTTGTGAGTACTAAGTGCCCAGGCTTCAAGGCCAACTTTCAGTGTAGTTGAGTCCCTTTCTTCACACAGAGACAGTCTGCTCACTGCAGACTCACACATCACTGTGCTTTGGAATCTCTCACACTCAGACCTTGCCTGTCAGGGAGCTCCTGGACACTGTAGTTATAGTCCCCATTCGATCAAGGAAACTTGGTGCCGAATTCCCATGAGGAGGGGCCTGGGTGAACCCAGCAACTCAGAACAGTTAACCCCAGGGCATAGGAGCAGGGCCATCTGGCGGTCCTGCTTCTTACTAATTCTATGAGCTCAGGCAAGTAACTCCATCCTTAAAAATCGAGATAATGGAAGTTGAGAGGATCAGCGGATGAACACATCAAAGCCTCCAGAGCTGTGTCTGGTGCCCCCTAAACATCCAGAAAACGTTAGCTATTATTATGACAGCTATTGTTGGGAGCCAGCTGGGTGTGCTTACAAGCCGCTCCTTCCACCCAGCAAACCCGTGCTGACACACACCTCACCGACTCACACACAGCCACGCTTTTATGTGGAGGACGGTGGCCAACCGTAACCCGTTTTAGAGATGGGAAGGGCCCCAAAGAAGTCAACGGTATTCTTTCACGAAATAAGAGCTAGTTTCCTTCCCTGCGTCAGCCACGGCCTCTCCTGTCACATTAAATTTCCGGCACTGAGCTGGGGGATAACTCAGTAGAGTGGGAAGGGTGCTTTCCTAGCATGCAGGAAGTCCCCAGAATGGAATAAATCGTGTGTGGTGGTGCATGCGTTGTAATCCCAACACTTGGGAAGTAGAAGTTCAAGGTTATCTTTGGCTGAGTATCGAGGTTGAGGCTAGCCTGGAATACAAGAGACTTTGTTTCAAAGGGAACAAAATTACTCCATCCTAAGAGAGGGTTAAACAATAGTTCACACACTGTTCTCATCCTCAGCAAATGTGGCAAAGTGTTTGGATTATGCATTTTGTGTGATAATTTAGGGGGAGACTATCATCTGGTGGCAGATCAGCAGAGCACAGACTGGCCTTGTTAACTGAGGACACAGCTCCAGGGTGCCTCCTAGGCCATGGCCTCACCTGTAAAATGGGACTAATGGCAGTACCTATCTCAGAGGGGTTGTGAGAATTAAATTAGGAATCTGGGTGGAGTGTGTGGAATGGTGTCTGCCGCATGGTGGCTATTATAAGGCACGGGCTAATATTAATATGCCCAGGGTAGACATGCATCAGACAGAAGGGGTGTGTGTGTGTGTGTGTGTGTGTGTCCTGATTTGATGCTCCTCACCCTAGGATTGGCTCTGCTTACATCGTGGGTGGCATCTGTCTCGTAGGGAGACTGCCACCTGCTCCTTCTCTCTGGAAGAGCTTTCTTGAGCCAGGGAATTCCCTCCCATGGCGACCGTCAGCCACTCCAGGCATTCTGATGCCAGATGCTCTGCCCACAACAGCACAGTGAGAAGCAAACCTTTACTTAGTGGCCCAAGCTGGTCTAGGAAGTCAGGCAGGCTTAGACATTGGGGGCATCTACTTAGAAAGACTGGAAGTGGAGGGGAGCATGGACATGTCCGAGCTGCTCAGGGGCTGCTCAGGCTGAGGGTGGTGCTGCAGACAGGGGAAGGGCGGGTGCCCAGGGAGAACAGGCAGGATGCCAGGGTGTCTGCCAGCCTCCAGGACGCTCATTTTGGCTCCCCGCCCTTCGGCAGGCAGCAGGGAGCAGGAAAGCTTGTTTTGTTTAGGCGTTAACTGGGCAGGCTGTGGGAAAATAGGCAAGCAGCTTGCTAAGCTGAAAAGGGCCTGCTTCCTTCACAAGGCCGTTCGTGTAGTTGACCACACTGGTCATGCTGTCCCTGTCTTGTCCCTGTCCCTGTCTTGCTGTCCCTATTCCACAACTCCATCTTTCTCCTTTGGTTCTTCTCTTCTTCCATGTCAGCCTAAGGGGTACCCTCTCCTGCTTCCCAGGCTGGTCCTTGGAAAGCTTCTTGGTGGAACCCTAGCGTTACAGATGAGGAAAGTAGCAGACTCCCCAGGTGTCCATGGTAAGAGAGAAGCAGGTGTAGGACTCTACTGGGCCTCAATCTTCCGCCATGGGAATTTAAAAAAAAAAAACTTTTAAAAGATTTATTTATTTTTATTTTGAGATACAGTCTCTTTGTAGCTCTGGCTGTCCTGGAACTCACTTGTAAACCAGGTTGGCCATGAACTCACAGAGATTCATCTGCCTCTGCTTCCGAGTGACGGGATTAAAGGGGTACTCCGCTATGCTTGGCTTATTTATATTTTTAAAATTTGTGTGTGTGTGTGTGTGTTTTGTCTGCATGTACGTCCAAAACCATTTTTGTGCTTGGTGCCTTCAGAAGCCAGAAGAAAGTGTTGGATCTCCTGGAACTGGAGTAACAGATAGTTGTGAACCACTGTGTGGATGCTGGGAACTGAACCTGTGTCCTCTGCAAGAGCCCAGTGCTCTTAACCATGAGCGGCCTCTCCAGCCAAGGGGTTATTTTTAAGATTTATTTATTAATTTATTTACTTACTTATTTTCAGTTATGATCTCTGTAGTCCTGGCTGGTCTGAAGCTCCTTTTGTAGATCAGAATGGCCTTGAACTTACAGAAATCTGCCTGCCTCTACCTCCCAAGTGCACAAATTACAGAAATGTACATGGCTGGCCTTTTTGTTTTTGTTTGTTTGGTTTTGTTTTGTTTTTGAGACAGGGCCTTTCTATAGACCTCGAACTTAAAGAGATCCTCCTGCCTCTGCCTCCCTAGTGCTGAAATTAAAGGCCTGTACCACTAAACTGGCCTTAATTTTTTTAAACCATGTTCTGTTTATTTTGCATGCGCAGCAAGCACGTGGAGGTCAGAGGTCAGCCTGTAAGAGTTGGGGTCTCTCCTTCTACTGTGTGGGTCCCAGGGACTGTCAGGCTTGGCAACAGGCTCCTTTACCCACCACGCTATCTTGCTGGCCCCCTCTCTGTCTTTCTGTCCCTAACAATAAAACTAGAACATGGGGCAGCACAATTGGATGCACTTGTCCCATTTAATTCTCACCACAACTCTGCTAACAGTGATTTTCTCCTTTCACAGAACAAAACCATTTGAGTAGACGTCTTTAAGACTGTCAAGAACACAGAGCGGGGCAGAAGAGGGAGCATGCCATCTAACTCAAACATTTTGCTTGATCACTGAAGTACCATGCTTTCGACTGTTCTATTCCTTGACACCTGGTTTTCAGAGCTGTAATCACAGTGCAGCTACTGGTAGAAGCTCCGCTTGGCACCCCACACAGACAGTCAGTCACTCAGCCCGCTCTGTTGCACCCAGACTGGCAGCCTCTGGCTTACATGCCTACTCAGCCCTTTATATATTTCATATACCTGACAGTTCATTTAGCCTGCACGGCAGTCCCCCTAAGATGGAGAGAAGAAAAAAAAATGTGTTGTTATCATCCTGCAGAAATGGAAACCAAGGCTGAAGTGACATGCCTGGAAGCAAGTACCTAACAAAGATAAGGTTAGAACTTTTGTTTCATGTCTCCCAATGTCAAAATCACGTGTCTGCCAGCTCCAACCATAGCCCTGGTGTTGACACTCTTGTCTTTATGCCCTATATTGTAATACTCATGGGCAAGAGCCCTAAACAACCAGGGCTCTTTCCTTTTATTGCCTGCTCCTGGAGGACGTGCCTTTGGGCTTAGATCTTTGCTACCATCTGATAGGACCAGGCCTCTGGCTTTCCTGGCCTTGCATGTCCCAATCACTGTGGTGACCTCTGGTCATACACTGAGATTAGGGGCTCTTTGGGGCAGAGCCCTGGTCTCAGCCCAGACACCTACTTGTGACTAAGCCTAGAATAAAGATCTTGTTGAGGAACACTTGATGGAATCTAAGACTTGGTTCTGCTACCAATTCACCGTGTGCGGAAGGGAAAACCCCTGCCCTATTCTGGTGGCTGGATTGGGAGTCTATCTTGAGAGCTGCCTAGAGAAAACAGGTATACTCCCCAGGCTGACTGGAGGGCTGTGGTGAGGGAATCCACTCAGAGAAGAATGAAGAAGGGCAGTGGGGGAAAGGTGACCAGGGCAGTAACAAGGTGAATGAGAGTGGGGTCCTCAAACCCATCATCTTCAGCAGTGCCTTCAGCTGGGCTTGGTGAGGCCCAGGCAGGAAGGACCAGCATCTAGATGTGCTGTCAAAAATTCCTTAGCACCCTGTGCAAGTCTGGAGCATACTGACAGAAAAGAAAGTGGAAAGGGCTGTGGAAGTGTGTGTGAGCGTGTACATGCATGTGCTTGCATGTCCGGTGCTTTTGTGTCTGTGTGTCATGGTACAGCGTGGGCAGGTGAATGGGAGAGGCACCTGTTGTAGCCACAAAAGGACTTGTATACTTTGCTTCCAGGAACTATTCGGACTCTCAGGAGAGCTGGCCCTCCAGTTCCCACTTCTACCTACACCAGGCCAGCTTTTAATCCTGGCTCTGACTTTCAGTCACTCTCTGCCGGGTGCTTCCTACAGCTTTAGAGCCAGAGGGCTCCAGAGGCCAGGGCTGGCTCTCCTTTATCAGCTCTGTGACTCTGGGTAGTTCATTTCATGTTTGTGCTTCAGTTTGTGTACTAAGAGGGGGACGTTGTGAGACTGGAAAACAATGTAAAAAGCATGCCTATTTCGGTGTCTGAAGCAGGGAGGCCCAACCATGCTAGCTGTTAATTGCTTTCCAGAGTAAGAATTCCACAGTGGGCTCTGATGGAAAGGAGCCGGCACCTGCTGTTCAGCCCCAGGGATGGAAATACTCCTCCCTCCTTCCGGGGATTGGTCTGCTTGGAAAACCTTCTGGAGACCCAAAGAGATCTGTGATAGTTCTGTCTCTGAGGGCACAGAGCCTCGCTGCTCTGCAGATTTCCCTTCAATGATCGAAAAGAGATTTCTGGCAGCACTGTCTTTACTTATTTTACAGAAGCAAAACTCATACTTGTGAGTAGATTTAAGTTTGGCTTCAGCAGCTCACAGGAACCTCTTGCTCCATCCTGTACCTTATGCTCCTGAGTCCGCTTCATTCCTGGAGACATGGGTTACCTTTTCGGGTTTGTGATGTAACACCGGACAGCAGCGGCTTCAGCAAGGCAGGGTTTATTGTGGCTTATGATGTAAGGGGATGCAGATCACCGTGGAGGTCACGTGAGCGGGAGCGGGAGGTGGTGGGCCACACTGCACCTGTGGCGCTCAGCCTGCTTCCTCCACACCCCGTTCATTCACTCTGGAACCCCATTCGTGGGTTGGCGTTCACGGTGAACCTTTCCTCTTCAGTTAAACCTCTCCGGAAACAACCTCAGTAGACATGCCTAGAGGTGCGTTTCTCAGATGATCCCAAATTCAGTCAAGCTGATAAAAAAAAAAAAAAAAAAAAAGAAAAAAAAAAAGACTAACTCATCATACTGGGAGAATTTCTTTAAATAGTCTTCACAGAGGACAAAGCCTAAGAGAAGGATTTGGGTTCTGGATCCAAACCCACCCATCACTTCAGGGCAAATCACTTGTCTCCTGTGGGTCTTCCAGACCTTATCTGTAGAAATGAAGAAACCAATATTTCACAAGGTTATTGTAAACATTAGCTTGAAGAAACCTTAAGAAAGTTTAAAATTTGAAAAAGGCACATTGCAAATTAAAAATTTTAAAAAATTTATTATTTCATGTGTGCAAGTTGTTTGCCTACATGTATGTGTGTGGCCAGGTGCATGCCTGGAGCTTGCAGAGACAGAAAATGACATTGGATTCCCTGGGACTAGAGTTATAGCCAGTTGAACAGCTATGTGGGTGCTGGGAATTGAACCCTGATCCTCTGCAAAAGCAACAAGTATTCTTAACTGCTGAGCCTACTCTCCTTTTCTTATCTTCCTGTTATAGCTATGTGTGTGTATGTATGCATGTATGTATGTATGTATTTGAGACAGGGTCTCTGTAGATAAGCTGGGCTGCCTCAAACTCATGATCTTTCTGCTTCACCTCGCTAAGTGCTGAGATTACATTAATAGACATTTGATACCATGCTACAGATGGGCTCCAAAATCCATTGAATGCACAGCAGATCCCTGGTCTAGGCTAGATCCCAACTCTTTGAACATCCAGAAACTCTATATCCTCGGTATCCACTTCCAAGGAAGTGAAGGAGGACAATCCTTGATCCAGAGTAGCTGCATTCAGGACTGGCATTTGGCAAACCTTGGTCAGGCATCTGGTGCGCGCAGGACTTCTGAGAAGGCGCTGTTAACCTTGCCCTCCATGCAATAGTCTGGAACTCGAGCTGGATGACTCTGCCTTGCTCACTTCCACATCCTACGGTTGCTGTAAGTTTCACATAAAGCAGGGCGGCAGCAAATGTCAGTGAGCGATCAGTGAACGCTTATAGTGACCATGTGCCAGGCCTGCAGTAGGAGAGATTCTGACTGGCACACGTCTGTAAGGGCAGTTCACACCCCCATTTTGAAAGGAAGGGAACAAAAGCTGGGGGAGTGCGACTAGGCTCAGTGGGGAGGCTGAGACCGAGGCCCATCTCCTACTTCTTAGTAGTTGCCCCACAGTGATGCTCAGGACTCTGGGTTCCCATCTACTGTTGCCTTGCCCCAGGCCTTCCCTGATCTGCCCGAGGACACAGGTGGTGGATGGCTTCAAGGAAACCAGAAACAGCCGAGCAGGTATTCTAATTTACACACAGCTCGGGAGCTCTGACTCCGAGAATACGGGTTAACTCAATGGAAAATGCCTGGGTCCACGGCCCACCTTCCCACCTTCGGGCAGAGGCAGCAGGTTATCCGGTAAGTCACCCTGGTATAGTCAGGCCTCACTGCCCTTCCTCGTTGGCCTGAGCTGCGTTTCTGAGAACAGCTATTCTGCACTAAGTTCTGCATTCAGTGTGTGTGTGGGGGAACTCCAGCTCACACTGTGGCTGTGTGTGGATCCGTGGCTCAAAGCAAGCGCTGACCAATGAGGAAGAGGGTTTTCTACTATGCCAGGCAACCCAAGGGGGCTCGACCACCCCTCCTCGGTTGCTCTGGACAGAGGAGGACACTGTCTGATGGGGACCCTGCTGAGAATACGCATTGCCATTGTCAGATGAAGTTGAGTTCATCCAACTAGCTCCCGTACAGGCAAAGCGGGCTGCCTACAAGGTTGCCTTCCAGACAGGAGCTTCCTTAAAAGGTTTCCTCCGGGGCCCTTGCTGTCTCCCTGGGGTTCGTATTCTCCACCTATTCCTTCCTCTGCTACGCAGGTGATGAACCCAGGGCCTCTACGGCTGCTCGGCATGGGCTCGAACACTCAGCAAAGTATCCTCACACACAGCCCTTGTTTCTTTATAACTCAGAACCCTTCCCGTCTCAAGGAGTCTAGTCATCCCACGTGACCTTGAGACCGGCTCCAGTTCCCTGGGACAAGCCTTCCTATCTGTATTATGGGAGTGCCCGACTCGAGATTTTCCAGTCGACTCCACGATCTCTGGCTAAAGTCACAGAGGGCCACCGGTTCCGCTGCCTGGCAATTTTAGGTTACTTCCACCTGTCCTCCCCCAACGGTGTAGGTCTGGCACCTGCGCCCAGCTGCAAAAGGACTTGTCCGTGCTCAATTTCTCAGCGCACATTTAGCCGACTAGGAGGGAGGGCACGCTGAGGGCCCGAGGGGAAGCAAAATCCCAATTTCTGCTGGCTGCAAACAGCCCCACCGCGGGCGCAGGGCCCCTCCGCCAACGCCAAACTCCCCCACAAACGGTGCAGCCGCAGCGGCGGGCCGGGGGCGGGGGCGGGCTGCGCGCGTGCGTCGGCGCACAGCCCTCGCCCGCCCACGTGCGCGCTCCCGGGCGGAGCGGCGCGCCCCAGCGGGCTGGCGGGAAGGCGCGCGGGAAGCCCCCGGCTGGCTCCTCGGCGGCGGGGGAGGGAGGCGTCGGAACGTTCCACCGTCGGGGACGAACGGGGTGTTCCTCGAGCGCCGCTCCCGCCCCCACCCCGTCGCCTCCGCCGGGCGACCCGTTAGGCTTCCCCCCCTCTCACGCCGAGGTCCGG